ATATAAATATTATACACATATAAACTAGCTGGGTACCCGTTCAATGAACGGACTGAAAAGCATCGATCGTCAAGTCATTGTGGAAACAGTGCGCACTGCTTGTGAACGGAAGCCTCACTTGTTTACAATGGCGTCATAGACTTTCCCAAGATTAGATCTAAACGAAACTAATGAAAAACTGAAAATTAAACTGCAGTGACTTCAGACTCCTCAGTAAAACTGTGCACCTTTTAAATGATTCTGAACCAACGTTATTTTTTCAAATTTGAAAATTAAATGGTTCGGAAATTTTAGGCAAACGTTCACAAACATATAATTTTTTAAAAAACATTAAAAAAATATTATCTGTGTAGGCACTCAGTAGGGCGACACCACGTAAACACACACACACACACACACACACACACACACACACACACACACACACACACACACACCCCCCCCCACCTTCCTCTCCTTGAACAAAAACACATAATATAAGTGGGTAATGATAATATTATGGTAATTTTGTTTGGCAGCGTTGGGATCGCTCGGGCAGTGACAGGTGTGATTTGATGCTCCACTTGGAAATACATTTTGTATTTATGTATGTAGGTGGGTGGTACAACAAGTTTTGTGTCTTAAAGATGTCAAAAGTCGGTGTTGTTTGTAAAAACGTTAACAATGATTGGGACAAAATTATTACATCTGTGTCTTATCAAAAGTCCATGATTCGATACCCGATTCTTATAAACGTGGTACTTTTCTGTGTTAGGTTTTACACTAATCTCAACATGAAGATGTCAGGAACAGTGGAAACCATCTGTAAGAGATTGTAGGCTTTGTCTCCCCAACTTTCCACCAAAACAATTGAACAATTATTAAGATTTAGAACGAGAAGAATAGTTTTTAAAGAATGTACAAGGCTCCTCCAGAAGGCTATTTAAAATCAAGCCGAAAAATTAATGGATGCCAGTCATTTTGCAGAAATTCCTGTAAAGAAAGTGACATAGAAGTAGGTCATGTTTATTGATTGATTGATTGGTTGACGGGGGTGTACTTGATTTTCGAAGCATTTCTAATGGCCTTCGTTATAATAATATGAAACGATATGCTATACAAGGCCGTACACTGAATCATGTTGACTCAGCTCAGCTCAATTCTCCCCTTATTATAAGACTATCACAGTGTAAGAGTATAAAGACACAAGATTCCACTGATCGGGGAAGTGGGTAGCAATTAAATGGATTTGGCAGTTCAGTTCAAAGAACAAATATAGCTCCCGCTATTCCTAGCAAGAAAAATGTTTTTACATTAACATTCTTTTTTTAATCTCCAGGAAGACCAAAATCTAATTTCTGGTTCACGGGCGGAAAAAAGACCAAAGGTGTGTGGAAATGGTTTGAACTAGTTAAGAGGAAACAGCGCAAGAGCAAAAAGGCTGGAAAAAAGAAGGCCCGGTCGTCTTTCAAGACTGTCAGAACCGCAGTGACCCAGGACAAATGGTTGCCAGGTATGTAAAGCTTTCGTAAAACGGTTTAGTAGTCTTTTTACGCCAAAATTGTTGGGAAAGGGGGGGGTCTTTGATGTATTTGAAAAAACACTTTTTAGATACATGTATTTATTTATCAATTAAACAACTTATTTACTTATCTCAATGTGTGAGTGGAATGCTAGGTCAGGCACGTTTTGAAGACAGAAGGGGCGGATGTCCTGGTAACAGCATGGACGTGCTCTTCTTTATGGTAGGAGTGAACTTAAGCGTAAGTCACTTGAAATCAGACTTAATTCTATAGTAGGTTAACAGAGGAAAAGGAGGGAGGAGGGAAGGGCTCTTAAAATCTTGAGTGCAGCTTATTAAGACTGTCAAAGTATTCCCGGAGAAGACCATTTTCTCTGGGATGTGGCGTGTTGTCCAGAAAAATATTAATCGCTCAGTGGGATAACTGGATAATAATATATAACTTTGTGGAGCTTTAAGAAATCACAAATTAAGGTTTGCCGAGATGCATAGCAAATTTATGTTTTGACCTATATACTTACATAGTTTGTTATATAATTATTGTTCTTTTTCCATTGGCATATTCAACTGTAGTGCACTTACTCGTGCTCCACTTTAAATACTTTGAAAAGAAGGAACATAATTCTTTTTTGACAGAATTGTAACATATTCAGACCTTATTTTGGGCCCTTCAATGCCTGTTCCAGTGGCATAACAAAAATACGAAGGCGTCTGTGGTGTAATGGAATGCATGTGCAGAAGACATGGATTTGATTATAGAGGAAATTTTTTTTCTTTTTTATTCACGTTTCTTCGTCTGCCTGTTGAGCCACTGTTTTCCACTCATCCTGGGTTAGCCAGCCTCCCAAATGATATGAATTATGTCCGTGAGGGTGTAAAATATTTATGATTAGAAAAAAACAAAACATTATTAGAAAACCATAAACAGTAGAGTCTATATTTATCTATCAAAATAAAACCCCAACCAAACTCAACACAGCTTGGCCTGGAGTGTCCGGCTCGACGATAGAACCTGTGAACAAACGCCGCCATGACTGTCTTGTGCTGACCAACCTGGCCATAGCCCCGGACAACAAGACGAAAGTACAGCTTGACTACTTCTTCTGGAGGGCAATGCCGTGTCGGATGAAAGGCGGCCTGAACTTCGTGTGTCAGCGAGACCGCGAGGAGACCACCCAAGCAGCTGTGGAAGGTGAGGAGTGTACCTTCATAATTTGTGTCAATCGATGGAATCAGGCGCTCGTCAATAATTTAGCATATTATGGAGTTACTGATATCATCTTAAAGCTTGTTCATTTGTTCTTGTTTTTGATTTTGATTTTTTTTTTACAAATCTACCAATCTATCTCGAATAGAAAAAGATATTTGTGATGGGAAGAGAAGGTCCTTGAAAGCTGCAAATTTACATTTTTACGCCTTTAAATAACACTTTTCCCCAGTAAAATCCACACAGAAATTTGCTTTGAAAAGGACACAAAAGACGATGAGCCAATATCTTTTAAAAAATGGATAACATTTGCCAACGCCAAAAAAGGCCGGGGTTTTTTTTTCGATTCAATTATTTTGACGAGCACATCCTGTTTTCCCGGCCCCACGACCCACGATGCCACACAATAATTATTACCAATTGTATCCTTTCCCAGGAAAAGTAACC